AGGATTTTTCCAGATGGATATGCGGAGCAAATCGATCTGGCGGAGTCAGGTTACCAATAAGTCCTATCCTCCAAAAACCGTGATGTCTGTGGACAACTGCACCTCTAAATATTTTAGGAAGCAGATTATCTCCTATATTTCTGAAATGGTGTCTTTACACCAGTGATCTCACACTCCGATCCCCTGAAGCTAAGCTAGTGAGGAACATTTTAAAGTTCCAGGGCGTTAGCCTTCGAAGGATCTGAGCCTGATACAACTCCCTTACGATTGCCGAGTTCGAATTCAGCAGCTAAGTCCTCTGAAGGCCAGATTTGTTGATTACGTCATAGCGTGGCGCCAAGGCCTGTTTGGATTGGACGACTCCTTGTTATGCGGCCAACAAATGCATCCATCTTTTTGCTCGATTTGACGGACGGGTCCGCTGTATCATCCATAGCCATGGGTTTCCCATGATTCATTGCGAGTCTAAGCAAGCCGGCTGCTCTGTGCGGAAAAAGGGAAAAGGCGCAGAACAGTGGTGAATATTGGAGGGGCAGTTTAAAGTAATCCAAGTATGTGGATAGCTCCATCTGAAATGAATGAAAATAGTTGTTTTAAATAGTTATTCAGTGGCAGGTTATTCAGTGGCAGGTAATGTTTGGTTTATTGAAAGGTTTTATCCGTCCCCGTGGTAATGGGTTTGGCTGATATTTAAGCTCAGATTCCAACATCTCTGCAGTGTGAGGACTATAAATCTGATATCCATGACAACGGTGAACTTTATAGATTTGAAATGTTCACTGTCTGAAAAGTTGTACTCAATGAAATTTTAACAATAAAAGTTGTCCAAGTCTACGTCTAATGTTCTGATCCTTACAGTTCTTCCTGCTTACTTCTTTTACCAGATACTGTCTCAACAAAGCAGGCATGAATTCTGTGAAAAAGATCCTCCTCTGCCTCAGTGATTACTTCCCCGACATGAGCTACTGCCCCATCCTTCCTGCCTTGGTCTCTCTCATACTCCACTTCAGTGAGGATGAAGCAGAGTGTTTCTACAGTGTGTCAAGACTCATCTGCTACAAGGACCCGAATAAGCGCTACATTGACCAGACCTTTCTGACCTACCATGCTTCCTGTATGACATTTGGGGACATTGCCAATAGGTGTTGCAGAGGCATACGGAAACTGATTGCCAGCTCCCACCAAAACCTCTTTGAATTTTACTCTGACTGGATCATGTGGATTTTCGCAGACCTTCCATTCACATATGCAATCAGAGTTCTGGATGTCTACCTACTGGAAGGCTTCAAGGTTCTCTTCAGGTTTGTCGTGGCTCCAGTTCAGCCCTGAACATTTGATTTCTCCTGGCCTGAACACAGTGAATTTATCTCCCAATCTGTTTGTAGGATCGCACTGGCTTTGCTGGATCTCTACAAAACGTCAGTGTCGTCTCGAGTGGCAGACGTCGGAGACTTCAGGACTGACATGAAGCGTTTTGTGCAAAGCGTGGATCGCCACTGCACGTCTGAGAAGCTTCTGGAAAGAGCCTTCCAGATTCCGATTGCTACTAGAAGCGAGCTCAACCTTTTGTTCAGTGCAAATAAGGATGCCTTGATGCAGAAAGGTGTCAGCACTCACCAAAAGAGGTATGTTTGTAATTGCATCGCAATTGACTAAGCAACTAAATAAAGGGGTCTCCAACCCTGGTTCTACAGATCTACAGTAGCAGCCATTCAAAATGGCCCTTCATAGTCAAACGCGCCCCTTCCCTCCAACTCCCAGCAAAAGCCACTCCAACTTCAAGCCCCTTCTTTCATATTTTTTTGACTCAGACTCCAACCTTTCAGGGTCTGGCCAGGATGTAATGCTTCTCTTTAGATCTTAATGTCCAAAAATCATGACAGAATATTTTAGATGCCTAAAATGGAACTGTTCTGGACCAGCCAAGGTCCAACCAAGGACCTATCAAGGAAAGTCAGGAAATTTTGAATGGCTACTACTGTACTTTCCTGCAAGTTTTTGATGCCTGGGGTCCCTGGTCAAACACAGCGTACCTCTTCAGTACGCCATCAAGTTTGGTAAAGGCCTGGTAAGGAGTAACCTGACTCTGCCAGATGGATTTGCTCCGCACATCCAGAAGTAATTTTGGAAAGGGGCGAAAATACTGGTTAGCTGATTGGCCTATGTTGGTGATAGACGGGCCAGATAAACCAATCAGATCAACGAATCATATGACGTACTAACAGAGCGATGACGAAAACACAACCACAACCAAGGCTACTTTTGCCAAAACCAGTCGGGAGAGGAGCAAAAACATCTTTTCCTCTGGGAAAAGCCTCCAGAGCAGTGTTTTGCTCTTCTTTCAGTGAAGAAATACTCTGTAATTCC